CTGGAACAGCTTCATGATATATGGCTTCTGAGAGAAGTGCTTCTTCCATCGCATCGTTCATTCCAGAGCCACCACTTAAAACACCCCAAGGGCTTTTCTTCAGTGTGATCTGTGGGCAATCCCCTCCTTTCCCCTCCAGATCTGCCAGCATAGAACGATATTATAACTGATTCTGCTCTCAGGCTCTCTAATGGGGGCGTGGGTTTTCCAAACAGGCAGCAAGGCAAGGAAGATTCTCTGAGTGGCAAGGGCACGGCTCCGGAAAGCTGATCAGTTGGGTGTGTGACCTGGGCCCTGCTAAGTCCAAAATGCACCATTCATTCACTGTGACATCTGGAGCAGTGGAGTTGGCGCATCGGGAAGTGCTTATTTGGTTAGGGAGGAGAAGAGCAAGGATTGCAGACTTCCCTCCAGTCACTTAAGAAGGAGGAGGGAAAGGGGAGTGGTAGCATCTGGGTGATATAAATTATAAAACTGGCTCTATTTTCATAGCTGCTGAGAGATGTCATTCCAAGATTTCTGAAAAAGGGCTATAACCTAGGGGTCCAGGAGTTCTGCTGAACCCTAAAATTATACACAGTGTTTGTGTGCATGTGCATTTTCCCAAGTCTATAACTTTAATTAGATTCTCAGTGGGTTATATGACTCAGAAAATAAGTTAAGAACATTGTTGAGAAGAAAGTAATGAGATTTTGAGGCCTTGAATGCAAACATGGGCTCATTTTATATTCTTTATTTTATAGCAAGGAATGTTAGTGGGACAGTTGGTTAAGTACTGGGCTGGTTTCCTCAATGTCAGCAGGTCAAATTCACCAGTCATCCTGAGGGAGAAAGATGAGACTTTCTGCTTCCATGAAGATTTTCAGCCTGAAACATCCTATGTTATGCCCTGTGCTGTCACTAGGCATCAGAATCAACTTGACGGCAGTAGGTGGGTTCCTTCATGACCCCAGAAGTGCTGTCCCAGGAACACGGGGGAAGAAAATACTCAAAAAGAGCCTGTCACATGATTTATGAGTACTGGCATCTGTAACCCCAAACACAGGATGTGAGGATTGGCTCCAGTATGGAAGGTGGGAGTTCACAGATCTTCGGATCTGGTCCTAGTTGTACCATCAATCTACCTAGGTTTGAGGCAAGAAAAAAATGTGGGTTCTACCTCTGTGTATGGAGGGCATCCTCTCTATGATATCTTTCAGTTCTTAAAGTTGAGCTGTCCATCCCTATGTAGAAATGTATTCTAATTACTCCAGTAGTTTTAGCAAATCAAAATATTAAACCAACCAAACCCAACCCACTGCGGTTGGGTCAATTCTGACACACAGCCACCTGATGCAGAGGGTCTGATGCACATCTTTCTAGGAGAAAAAATTCTTAGCGGTCTCCCAAAGATCAAGTGGTGGGTTTAAACTGCTGACTCGGCAGTTAGCAGCCCAATACTTACCCAACAAAGTGAGTGCCTAATGACTCCTTTTTGTGCGAAGAAATATGAGTTTTTGTTGGATTATGATATTCTCTGATAACTAAATGGCACAAAATTGATGCTGACTCACTGAGGTTTCCTATTTGTTAGAGTAAAACGGTGCTCTCTAGGATTTCCAGTGGATGATGTTTAGAAATAGATTTCTGTGTGTTTTTCTACGATACCTCGGGGTAGAATCAAACCTCCCACCCTTTGGCTAGCAGCTGAGCTCATTAACCTTTTCTTATCTCCCTAGGATTCAATATTCTCTGATATTGAGGTTAAATCTCTAGCCTCTTTTTTGTTTTATGTAATAATTGTAGCCATCCTATGTTGATAAAGTTGTATGAGATCTCTCTGCCCACAACTGGGATGATTCTTATTTTCGATCTATATATCTCTTAAATAACAGGAATGGAGTGATCACTGGTGTTTCAGGGAGGACATGAGCTTTGAGCTGGGTCTTAAATGTAGAAGAAAATTTAAATAAGTAGCAAATGGAAGACACTTCTATTTGGAGGTAGGTGGATGAAAAGTCTATGAGCAAAGGGAGGAACTGAAGATAAACTGAATATTAAGAGGAAAAGTAATTGGCTTACTTGACAAAAGCCAAAGTTGCTCTTGGGAAAATGTGATGGTATTTAAGTCTTTTGTGATATGTGTGACATATAATGCCCACATAATTGTCTGAATTTCTGCCTTTCTACAATTTCAGGTTCTGTGGAAAGCTGCCGATCGCACTTAGGGGCTGCTTCCCTTTGGTGAGGGCTGTGTAACTCGAGGAATCTGAAGGGTGCACTTGCTCCCACCAACGCCAGCACCAGGGATGCCTGTTCTCATGGGTCCCACTGATTGCTTCAACAGTCCAAACAATTATTTTAAATGCTGTTTAAAAAAATCTTACTGTTGGAAACACATGGTTTAAACAACAATGTAAAGAAGAACATGGTTTAGTCTTGATAGGGTAAAGTTAGGTTGCTATTAACAATTTATAAGGACATTTAGGCCACACGACTATCTAGAGGAGCTCCTGGAGATGGCTGAGAAAGCTTTTCAAGAGAAAAGCCAATGGAGCTGTCTTAGTCACGAGTGTGAATTGATAGTGTCCAAGAGAACATTTGCACAACCTCCCTGTGTGTCTGCAACCTCACACTCGGGGGTCCTTTGCAATAGGAAGTAGCAGGGCTCCAATCCAGGGCATGGAGCTTAGTGTGGATGTAATTTAGATCCCAGGCAATGATGTGCCCTAAAGGAACCATAGTGTACTCTGAAATCTGGTTGGGTTTGTTTTGTTATCCCTAGGAGAATTTGAAATCTGAAATTGTGTATATGAGTACCTTTGTCCAGGGAGTCCACTTGCACACATGGCAACCCCTTGTGTGCAAAGCAGAGCTGCCCCCAGGACATGCCACGCAGCCTGTCTGCCCAGGTGCATTGGGTGGGCTCAGACCTCCAACTGAGAGTAGTTGAGAGCATTAACTCTACCACCCAGTATTTCAAAATTGCAAATGATGTCAGTCTTTACTTCATTTGTCAGGCTAATATTACTGAGTAGAAATAATAGCCTGGTGAGAGCCATCCGTTCTTCCTTTCCACTCACTGATTCCCAGCAGTGGACACCTGAGGTGCAGTGGGGCCGAGTGGGGAACGATGTGGCCATGCTAGAGTTTGGTTTAGGTGGATTAGAACCCATTCTCCATGACAAGATTAGAGAAGAGTCTGTACAGAGAGAACTTTTTCCAAGTGTAATACAATTTTTTAGAGGAAAGTACTATTGTCTTCAGATGATTCAAATCTTATGTAAAGAGATTTTGTAAATTACTTATAAACTGTATCATGCAGCGAGACATGAGTAGTGCATTTTTTTGGCAGGGTTGTTTTATTTTAAATAGTTTTATTGCCATAAGATTCACACACCACGTAACTTAGTAATTCAATCCTATTAAAAAGAGTTGTGTAATCAACCGCTGAAGACAAAGCGGGTGAATAAGCAAATGTGGTGAAGAAAGCTGATGGTGCCCGGCCATCAAAAGATAAAGCATCTGGGGTCTTAAAAACTTAAAGGTAAACAAGCGGCCATCTAGCTCAGAAGCAACAAAGCCCACATGGAACAACATATCAGCCTGTGTGATCACGAGGTGTCAAACGGATCACTGAAGACAAATGGGTGCATAAGCAAATGTGGCGAAGAAAGCTGATGGTGCCCAGCTATCAAAAGTATAGCGTCTGGGGTCTTAAAGGCTTGAAGGTAATCAAGCGGCCATCAAGCTCAGAAGCAACAAAGCCCACATGAAAGAAGCACACCAGCCTATGCAACCATGAGGTGTCAAAGGGATCAGGTATAAGGCATCATCAGAACAAAAATCATACCATAGTGAATGATGGGGGGAGTGCGGAGTGGAGATCCAAAGCCCATTAGTAAGCCACTGGAGATCCCCTTGCAGAGGGGTCACAGGGAGGAGATGAGCCAGTCAGGGTGCGATGTAACAACGATGAGAAATACAACCTTCCTCTAATTCCTAAATGTTTCCTCCCCGATCCCACTACCATGACTTGAATTCGACCTTGCAAGTCTGGCTAGACCAGAAGATGTACACTGGTACAGATAGGAACTGAACATACAGGGAATCTAGGGCGGATGAGCCCTACAGGACCAGTGGTGTGAGTGGCGAAACAGGGAGGGTAAAGGGAGAATGAGTAGGAAAGAGGGAACCAATTACAAGGAACTATATGTGACCTCCTCCCTGGGGGATGGACAACAGAAAAGTGGGTGAAGGGAGACGTAGGACAGGGCAAGATATGACAAAATACCAATTTATGAACTATCAAGGGCTCATGAGGGAGGGGGGAGCGGGGAGGGAGGGGAAAAATGAGGACCTAATGTCGGGGGTTTGAGTGGAGAGAATGTTTTGAGAATGATGTACAAATGCGCTTTACACAATTGATGTGTGTATGGATTGCAATAACAGTTGTATGGGCCCCTAATAAAATGTTTAAAAAAAAAAAAGACTTGTGTAATCATCACCACAATCAATTTCAGGACATTTTCTTCTTTCTTGTCCTCACAGTTGCAAGCTCCTCATTTCCCTATCACCACTCCCCACCCTTAGATAAGTATTAATCTATTTACTGAACATATAGATTTACCTCTCCTGGATTTCAGATACAAAAAATTATACAAAACTCAAACAGGAAGCAAACAAAAAAAGCCAACAACAATGACAAAAGAAAATAGAGTAAAACCTCATTTCAATAGAAATCAGAAAATATAAAAAAACAAAATATAAAAATACTTTAAAATAAGTCAAAAGGAAGGTCATGTGATAAGGAGTTAGATTTTTACCAAATTTTATCTTCCATAATCACATTTATAATACTCTCTGCCTGACAGCAAGGCTATTCACATCCCTGAATTATGAGCAGAGGGGATTCACCAAAGTCTTAATCCATATGGAGACCCTGCAAATGGATTTTGGGCTTCCACTGTCATCCACAGCCTTCTGCTAACCAGGTGTTCAGAATTTTTTTTTTCTCGAGCAGCTGGTCTCAGTCCCATATCCGTATTTATCATCCATATATGTCCACTCAGAATAGGTTTCATCCTTGAATACAGCTGTTCAGAATTTAAGCTTTAATGCTGTTCCCTCCTGTGGGTTTGGATTTTATTAACTGTATCACACAGGCTGGATGTCCTTCCATGTATGCTTAGTTGGATGGTATTTTTGAGGCAGTTGGTTACACGAAGTTCTGGAAAGAGCCCAAGAGAGGTCAATGTTATTTGTTTTTATTATGACCTGAGAACTCGTGATTTCTAATGACTGGTGCAAATGCCTACAGTGATAGTTGGGTTTTATATCAACTTGGTCAGGCCAGGATTCTCAGTGGTTTGGCATTTGATACCTTGTAGTCTTCTATGATCTGACCTAATGTAATCCACTCTATGAAAGAGTATTGTGTATGCTGTCAAGTAATTATAAGATTAGGATGGATACAACTTCCTTACTCAGGTCACAGTCCTGATTCACTTGCAAGGAGGTTTCTTCTGGTATGTGGGTTACTTCCTATATAAATAGTTGATGCAGAAAGCTTCCTTGCTTTTGGCTGAATATGGATCCTCCACCTGAATCCAGGTTTTGATGTTGTTGTTGTTGTTTTTTTTACTTCAGCCGATATCCTACCATATTACCCAGTGATCCTGGGAGCTATCAGCAGGCTGCCAGCTGACCCGCTCAACTTGGATTCACTAACTTCTTTGGGCACAAACCTCATTGCTAATCTTGGATTCGTCTACCTCTGAAGTCTGTGCTGTACCTACAGATTCTGGGTTCATCAGCCTCGAAGACTATGTGAGTGATGAAAAGCCTCCAGCATAACATCTGACCCATAGCCTTGAAAAAGTAATGAACTTTCCCATGGTTACAACTGTTTGGCCAATTTTCTTGATAAAGGTTCATTTATATATAAAATATCGCTGCGTTGTTTCTCTAGAGAACCTAGCCTCACTCACCTATCCTATCCTTTTGTCAATAAAGGCCATACATATGTCTCCCTTAGAAACAGTCTTCCAAGAGTCTTTTGCTTCCTTTTGGACACTCCAATCCAATGATTGGAGGAGTTAGGAGATCAGTTCTTGGAATTTCCTCTCCAGGAATTTGGCAGGGGTCTCACCAAAAACAAACTCATCGCCATCAATTCCATTCTGTCTTCTAATGTCTTATAGGACAGACTAGAACTGACACTTGGGGTTGCAGAGGCTGTAAATCTTTTGAGAGTGAAAAGCCTTATCTTTCTCCCATGGAGCAGCAGGTGGTTTTGAACTGATGATCCATGCAGTAGCGGCCCAGTGCTATAACCTACTATGCTGTAGAGAGTTTGTTCTTTCTTCTCAGGAGTGACTGGTGGTTTCAAACTGCTGACCTCGAGGTTAGCAGCACATTGTATAACCCACCATACCATCACTAGCGCTAGTGGTTTACAAGGTCTCAAATCAACTCTCCTCTCCATTTAGATTTCACTGTCATCTCCTAGTGCTTGACTCATTGCTTAATGCGCTCCAGTCACCCAGAGATCTTTGTTGTCCTTTAAAAATGAGAGCCTACTGATGGGCTTTGGGTCTCCATTCTGCACTCCCCACATCATTCACTATGGTAAGATTTTTTGTTCTGATGATGCCTTATACCTGATCCCTTCGACACCTCGTGGTTGCATAGGCTGGTGTGCTTC